TCAGGAGGGAGGAGGATCAGAGCTCAAGGTCAGACTGGGAAATGTGGATCAGTTGTAAGGCTCTTGGCTAGCATGCATGAAGCCCCAGGTTCAATCCCCGGCCCCGAATAAACCAGGCACAGCGATGCATGCCTGTGATCTCATCACTTAGGAGGCTCAGGAGTTCAATGTTATCCTTACCTACATATTGAGTTCAAGGCCAGCCTGGGATGCATACAACTTTGGCTTTTAAAAAAAGATTATTAATTAAATAGAATAAATAAATCTATTGGATGTCCAGTATTGGATGAGGTTTTGGGATTTTTGTTTGGTTTTGGTGGTTAGTTTTTGTTGTTGTTGTTTTTGGTTGTTTTTTTTTGTTTGTTTGTTTTTGTTTTTGTTTTTTTTTTTTTTCCAATACAGGGTTTCTCTGTGTATGTCTAGCTGTTCTAGAACTAGCTCTGTAGACCAGGCTGGCCTCAAACTCACAGAAATCCACCTGCCTCTGCCTCCCGAGTGCTAGGATTAAAGATATGTACCACCACCATCTGGCTTCAATGATTATTTAGTTGTTAATACCATTAAGGAACTGTTGCCAGCTTGAAGGGAGGGTGACACTTGGTGGCTAGAGTTAGATGAGCGCACAAAAGACTTCATAGTAGGAGTCAGATATTGTTTCTGTAAGGAGCTACAGGGAAAATACAGCCAGAGACACAGACTGTCTCCCTGACCAAACTCTATCCAGGTTCCTTCAAGGGCTCTTCTCACCCGGCTCTCAAACTTATGTCTATAAGGACTTAAAAGCTCAAGATCACACCCCCAAGATGACTCTAGACTTAAATCAGCTGCCTGAGAAAGCCCAGGGCAAATCTACTGCACGTCCCTGCCAATATCTGCAGACAGGGCCTGTCTTGCACACTTCATATTTGTCACCTAAAAGAAAAATTATTCTGCTGACAGTTATACCAATCAAACCTTTGGGATTTTCACTTCCCTGATCAAGTCCCTGCCTGCCCCATCCCTACTCCTCATTCTTTAGAATGCACAATTGTTTCTGTACTGAAAGGAACTGAGAGGGTCCAGCAGTGGAGGTGCAGGCCTTGAATTCCAGTACTCTGGAGACAGAAGCAGGTGGATCTCTGAATTCGAAGCCAGCCTGGTTTACAGATCAAGTTCTAGGGCAGCCAGGGCTACACAGAGAAGCCCTGTGTAAAATGAAAGGGATGGAGGGGGAGAGGGAAATGAAGAGAGAGGGGTAGATTTTACTCAGAGATTTTTACTGGGACAATTTTACAGAGACAGGTTGCAGACAAGCTCTCTCTGTCTCAGATGAAGACAGAATGAGCGAGAGAATAAGGAGCCAGAAAATTAAAACATATTGCCAGAGTTTTAGTTTGAGGCCCAGGCAGAGCAATTCAGTCAGAAGCCAAAAGAAGCTAGTTTGAATCAATCAGCTTAGAGAAAAGTTTGGGCCAGAGCAGCTGAGTTAAATGAGCCATCAAGAGCTTTAGAGACAGGGCTGGAGAAATGGCTCAGAGGTTAAGAGCACTGGCTGTATTTCTTAGAGCATCTGGGGGGTCCCGTGTTCAATTCCCAGCAACCACATGGTGGCTTATAAATATCAGTTCCCTCTTCTGGCCTACATGTTTGCAGGTAGAACACCGTGTACATAGTTAATGAATCTTTTTTTTTTTTTTTTTTAAAAAAAAAAAAAGAGTTCAGAAAGAGCTAGAAAGGCTTGGGAATGACTCTCTTCTCATCCCCTCATCTTATATATTGACAGGAAAGAAAGCAAAATGTGGTTACCAGGGTTGGGACAGGAAATACTGCCTGATAGGTGGAGAGATTCAATTTCAGGGTGCACATGAGTGATTGAGTGTGTGTGTGTGTGTGTGTGTGTGTGTGTGTGTGTGTGTGTGTAGAGCTCCTGACAAAGGGTAGAGCTTATGGCTAGCCACCTATATATAGGTACTGAATACCACTGACCTATACACCTAAAAACTTCTTTAGACCCCAATTTTACGTTGTGTGTATTTACACAATAAATTTTTTTAGAAATTCTTTCACCAACAGATTCTGTAAGATAAGCAAAAGTATGGCTTGGTGGTTAAGGGCGCTTGCTCCTCTTGTAGAGGACCTGAGTTCAGTTCCCAGCACCCACAGGAGACACAGTCTCCTGTAACTCCAGCTCCTGGAGATATGTTCCCCTCTTCTGGCCTCAGACAGCACCCACTCTCATGTGCACAAATCCACACACAGATGCACAAATATCCACAAAATAACAAATAAAATCTTTCTCTTTAAGTGAAATCATGAGATTTCACTCTGGGAGAATATATGCGTAAAACACAACTCAAAAGGAACAGCAAACAGAATATGTAAAGAATTCCTACAAGGATTCGTAATTAGTTAACTAACACCAAAAATTACTTTCCAGAGTTTTAACAGGGATGACTAACACAGATTTCTTGTACTAGGGAATTAACATGAAGACAAAATCAAGACCACAGAGTTGGGCTCTCTTATCTCTGCTTTGGCAAAAACCAAAGGCCGATAGCATCAAGTGCCAGGAAAGATGTGAAGTGACGGCAACACGTCAATCCCGCCACTTCAGTCATCCACAGTCGGGCACCACCCTGCGCACACCTGGCCCCGGTCACCTCGGGAGTATAGGCACTGAATCTATAATTTAGAAATCTATCTCTGGAGGTTGAGCACTGTGAAATATTCTTGATCAAATATGTCAGAAGAACAAATGCTGAACTGTTCACAGCATATCCATGTGCAATAACAAAAACCCTACAAAGTCCCAAATGCCATAAATATAACCGTAGCACATCTGTGCAGCGGGTACCTGCTGCCAGCATTTAGCATCTGTGCAATTGTGAGAAAGTTACTCGGTCTTTCTGTGCCTCAGTTTTTCTGTCAGCAAAATGAGGATAATGCCGGCATCTACCTCGGAGTGTTGATGCAAGGACTGTGACCTCAAGAACGATTATCATCGGCACCTGAGACCAGTCAAGCTCTCCCTCTACCAACACAGATGCTCTAGGCTCCTCCCTCAGAAGGAAGGTCTCCCTCCTGACATACACCGCTTCATGTTCTCCAACCAATGCGGCCTCCGCTGATCGCTTCTCGTGTCTACCGACCATTCCTACCATTCCACCCCTACGACACTCCCAGCTGCCCCAGCTCCTGTCATATTCCTCCGACCGCCTCTGCCTGCTGAGCATCTACTTCCCTTGTCCAGACCCACCCAGCTCAGACAGCCCAGCCCTCTGCCCCACTCCACCACGTGGGCATCTATAGTGAACCTCAACTTTCTGATTACCCTGACTGCGCCCTTCTAAACTGCAAGATCCAGGTAGGAATGCCACCACCACCACCACCACGCTCCAGGCTAACCAGCCCGTGAATTACGATAAAGTCCCTTACACATCCGAAGCCTTTATCCAGGCCTCTGGCAGCCTCTGCGCTTGCGCAGGCCTGAATACAAATCCTAGCTCCACCCTTTCTGGCCCTGTGACCTTGAGTGAGTCTGGGAGCCAGTTTTCTTGTACCAGTTGAGCAGGGATATTAACGTTGACGCTCTTGTGGGGATTAAATGAGATGATGATGATGTGTGAAACTCCTGATAGAGAAAAATGAAAAAAAAAGAAAAAAAAAAAAAAAGGAGCTGGGGGTTGAGGTGTGGCTTAGCTAGTAGAGCTTTCAGTCTCCAGCCCCTCACAAACCAGACGTGGTAGCACATGCCAGCAGTCTTAGCACGTGGGGAGGACCGAAAGTGCCTAGTCGTCCTTGGCTCCACAGGGACCCCGAGGCCAGCCTAGGATACACGAGACCCTGTATCACAAAACACAAAGCTGAGCCGAGGAGGGGAGAAAGAAATTGGTTGGTTTCAGTGCTGGGAGTCAAACCCAGGGCCTTGTGCATGCTAGACAAGCACTCTACCCCTGAGCTACACTCTCCAGACAAAAGAGCTCTTCTTAGGCCACCCAGTGGGCACACCCCCTCCTTCCTGCCTGGCTCCTTACATGTGGCAGCTTCCGACCGCACCTTGGTCCAGGGTGTCGGGTCAGGCCAGGGGAGCTATGAGGCCATCCCAAGGGATGGAGGTTAGGGGGCGGAGCCGCCCTAACCCCATACCCCCTTCTTCCCCATCTCCAGAGCAGCTCCTGACCTCTCTGGATACTGCAGAGCTCAAGACAGAGAGGGAGAAAGCATCTTGACACCGTCCTCCCTGTCCCACCCCTCTCCAAGGGTCTCAGTCTCAAGGCAGAGTACAATACGGCCAAGCTCTCTTGCCAGAGCTCGCTGGTCCTCCGGCTCTCTATTTCAAAGAGGAGACAATTACAACTCCGAGAGAAAAAGCTCTGCCTGAAGTCTCTGTGTACTCAGAGCCTGACCTTGAACTCCTCAGTCTGGCCCTGCCTGCACCCAGCCAGCCTCCAGGAAAAAGTTCTCCCCTGCCTTCCCCCCACCCCCAGGGGCTCTGGTAGATGACTAGCTGGGCGCTGTGCTCATGCTTATCGACACCCCACTCAGCCTTGTCCTCAACCACCCACCGCCCGTCCCCGTCACAACGCAGCCCCAATTCTTCTCCTGCAGCTGGCACCAGTTTCCATGGAAACGGGTTGTTTGGGCAGCTGTGGATGATAGGCTGAGCTGCGGTATCAAGGATGGTGCTTGGAGTTATCACGCAGCCGTGGGCTGCATCCAGCCAAGCGAGGCAGGAAACCTGGTGACGCCACCGCACTCACTCCGACAAGCCCCCTGACAACACTGCGGCCCCAGGAATCCCAAACCTGGCGTCCAATCCCAGCAAGTTGTCTGAAGTGGGGAGAGAAGCCAGCTTTGCCAGAAACCTCACCCCAGCCTCCTCTACAAGTACAACCAAGCTGTGTATTTCAGGGACATTCCGGAGCAGCTTCCTTGTCATGGGCATAGAGTTAAATGCCAAACGTGTCATCACACTGACTCCCCACCACCCATCCCACAAGATAAGTGTCATCGATACCCACGTGCTCTGCATCAAAGAATGCCATCCTGGAAGGTGAAGGCGCTCGCTTGGGTCATCAGGCAAAGCAAGGCTGAGTGGCAGCTCTCAGTACCCTCCCGGGGCTGGAAATGAGAAAAGGAAGTCCCTGCCCCTTCTCCCCTCTCAGTGCCCACGGCCGTGACAAATACAGCTACAGACAGCTCTGACGCAGAGCCGGGAAAGGCACAACTTCTGCAGGACAATGTGCACCAACCCGGAAAGACCTTCAAATGGTACAGGGCCTGAAGCACTGAGAAGCTGGCACCGGCCGGCGCAGCCTGAGAGCCCTATTCACGAACGAGAAGGTCCAAACCAGATGTTCCGGTCTACACAGACTCTCATGAAGAGGAACCTGAAGGGCACAAGCCTCACACAGTTGTGACTTCCCAACGAATGGCTGTCTCAAAAGCATTCAAACAAACTTCTTTACTAAAAAAAAAAAAAAAAAATAGAAATTTTTGTGGAGCTGGTGCAGCGGCACACGCCTATAATCCCAGCACTTGGGAGGTGGATCTCTGTTGTGTGTTCGAGGCCAGCCTGGTCTACACCAACCCTCCTTCTCTCCTACCTGGTGTTGGGGGCTTGGAAGGTATGAGGGTGGGTAAGGGTGGCAAGGGACATACAGGTCTACGAACCCCATTAAGATAAAGCAGACTTTAAAAGTAAGTGCCCACAACCCCCCACTGTTCACATGCATTCACGTCTGTACTCAGCTTCTGCCTCGGGTCTCCATGCCTGCACATCAAGTGTTCTTGCCTGCTGAGCCATTTCTCCAGCTCTGGGTTTTGTTTTGCGTTTTTTGTTTGGTTGGTTGGTTTTTGTTTGTTTGTTTGTTTGTTTTTGAGACAAGTTCTCTCACATTTCCCAGGCTGCCTTTCAACTTAGCCCGTAGCCAAGGATAACTTGAAACTCCTGATCTTCCTCCTTCCACCTCCAGAACTGGAGTTCCAGGTGTACCCCCACATCCCGTCTATGCACTGCCCCCCAGCGGTGAACCTAGAACTTGGGCCACAGTAGACAAGCATCCTGCCAACCGAGCAAAATCTCACCCTAATTGGGAAGTATTTTAAGCATCACAGGGAAAAATAAAATGTGGTACAGCAATCCCAGTTTTGGGTAAGACAAGGCATATGTGCAGGAAAAAGATTCATGTAAGGCCAATTCCAAATGCTTACAAGACGCTGCAGCAGGGTCCTCCTCCTCCTCTTCCTTTCTTCTTCTTCCTCTTCCTCTTCTTTTCTTCTTTTTTGTTTTAGTCGTTGGTTTGTTTGTTTTGTTGGTTTTTGTTTTTTTTTTTTTTTTTTTGAGACAGGGTTTCTCTGTGTAACAAGCCCTGGCAGTTCTGGAACTCATTCTGTAGGTCAGGCTAACCTCGGAACCCACAGAAATCTGCCTGCCTCTGTCTCCAGAGTGCTGAGATTAAAGGTGTGTGCCACCGTGCCCAGCTCCTCTTTACTTTCTAAGATGAATTCATATTACTTTTGAAATTAAAGATGACCAGTTGGGGGGCCTGGAGAGATGGCTCAGAGATTAAGCACACTTGCTGCTCCTCCAGAGGACCTAGGTTCGGTCCCCAGCACCCTCTTCGAGGTTCACAACCACCTGTAATCCAGCTCCAGAATACAATGCCCTTTTCTGGCCTTCCTCTGGCTCCTGCAACTCACACACACAAACCCCTACACACAAACACATACGGAAAGTAAATAATAAAACAAATCTACTTAACAACAAAACAGATCAGTGATTTTGAATCAGGTTACACGCCTGCAATCCCACTTCTCAGGAGGTTAGAGGGTCAGGAATTCAGGTTGGACTTAGCTACATAGATAATTTGAGGCTAGCCTGGGCTACCCCAGACCTTGAGCCACCACCTTGAATGCCAAAATATAGGTTGTTGCAGGATATTTGATCCCATTGTGAACCCCAAAATTATAAACTATAAAACCAACCTCGTTTGGTGTGGTTGAGCCCTAACAGTCACCTTTAATCCAAGAACGTTCTGTTTATTGTAAACACGTGGTAATGGTGTGGTTCACCCAGCCCTAGCACATACCTTTAATCCAAGAGCTTGCTGTACACAGGATTTAATAAAATTAACCGTAGGTCAAGAGAGGGAGCAAGACACCAGCTGACAGGGATTAAAGAGTAGGAGGGACTTAGAGTTGAAGAGCATTTAAGACAGTCTGTAGAAGTAGAAGGAGCTTTAGCTCTCTAGCTCTCTGGCTTTTGGAGCTTTTTAGGCTTTGAGCTAGCAAGCCTTTGGCCTTGGGATTTTTGGCCTTTTCCTCCTGGGCTGTCAGCTGAGCTAGTGAGCCTTTTGAGCTTCTTCCATCTGGACCTGAGCTGAGAAGAAAGGTCAGCTGGGTGCTTTCTCTGCCTCTCTGAGCTAGCAGGTTTTTACATCAGCATCTGGTTCCTGAATCTTCATTGGTAAAATAGAACGGTTAGGATTTTCATTTTTTAAAACAACAATACATGCTTGCAAAAACAATGCCACAGTGTTGGGATGCAATTATCTTACAAAGAGACCTAACCGCAGCTGCTCATTTTGTCCTGTCTCAATCTTAGTAATAAGCTGTTTGACCCTGACTGGTCATTTTATCTTCCAGAGCCTCTGGGACCACATCAGTGCAATGGGCATGTCATCAGTGGCTATAGACCTCAAAGGTTGTTACAAAGATGACATACTCAGCACCCAGCAATGTTAAGTTTGCAAGCTCACAAGACAAACTACCTGTGTTTGTGACCTGGTTGTCATTTCCTTTTCTTTCTACGCTTCGTGTATTTATATCAAAAGCACCTAGCACACAATAAACATTAGAACAGTCAACTACGTGGGAAAAATAAATAAATGCCATCTTCCACCCCTGGCTTACAGACATTAGATACAATTAACAAAATTAGTGCCATCATTAAATAGACAGTGAATGCAACGAGAAACAGTGGGCAGAGGGGACACGGGGCAAGTGCTGACTCCATCACTGTGTGAGCCTGGGGAAGTCTGTCACCTTCCCTGAGCCTCAGTTTCCCCATCTGGCAAAGTGGGGCTAACTCCTACCTTGCAGGACTATTCCAAACACTACAAAGAAAAGGGAATTACCTCCCACCTTATGCTGAACACATCCTTTCATGTCCTGTCTCATTTACTCCTCAAAATCCCATTAAACAGGGTTTTTATTTCAGACGGGGTCTCACCAGAGAGTCCTGGCTGGCCTAGAACTGGCTCTACAGTGTGGAAGGCCAGCTAAAGCTGTTTGCTGTTTTTTGTTTTTGCATGGCCTGCAACACTCTAGACCAGGCTACCCTCAAATTCAACCTCCAGAGTTCTGGGATCAGAAGTATTCGTCACCTCACCCAGTTTACTTTGTTTACTATTTTTAAATGAGAGAAAGCTTATTAAAAAATAGTGGAAGTTGAATCCTCCAGGAAGTAGGCTGAGGCAAGATTTGAACTCAGCACTTGCTGCCTCCAAAAAATAATGGCCTCACGGGGAACCCAGTAATGGATTTTATTTTTCCTTTCCCAACTCCAGAATTTCAATCCACATCACCTGGAAAGCTGGGCATGGTGGCACACACCTGTTATCCCAGAACTGAGAGCCGGAAGCATTAACATCAAAAGTTCAAAGCTAGGGTAGGCTACAGTGAGTTCAAAGCCAGCCTTGGCAACCTAATGAGACCCCTGTATCAAAATAAAATGTAAAGATAGGGTTCAGGGGTTCAGCTTAGCTGTAGAGTGTCTACCCAGCATACATGAGGCCCGGGGTTCAGACCCCCAACAAACCAAACAGAACAAGTATGAGAGAAATGTTAACAGACCTGCTTTAGCGTCATGGAGGAGAGACGCGGAAGCCATCTTATCCCAAACCATCAGGCTCAACTTACCAGGCCGGGACAACCTCCTGGACTGCCTTCCTTTGCGTGATCCTGGCTGGTGGCGCCTGTGCACTGCTTTGGGGCACAGGACACTCGACTTTCCCATCGCCGCTTCTTCACATACCTGGGGCTTCTCTGTCCCAGGGAGGCACCACTGAGACCACCCAAAGGCTCTGAGGAGCTGGCCCGGGAGTCGGCTGGAACCGTGAGTCCTTCCCCGGGCCCCATCCTGGACTCTGGATGAGCCTTGACCTCTGACCTCTCCGGGTCAGGTGGAGTGCCAGAGCTGCCGACCGAAAACAAGGGCTGCACTTCCTGCTGCTCCGCAGAGTCCCCTGTCAGCACCTCTGGGGACAGTGCTGCGCTCAGGGGAGAATCCTGCGTGACCAGACTAAGGGGCTCACCTCCAAAGAGCCCTGGGAATCCAAAAAAGTGATCGAGGCTGTCTGACTGGGCCACATTCTTAGAAAAGAGGAGGTTTTCAAGCTCAGCCTCTGGGACACCTTCCGCCTAACTCCCACCTGGCTCTCCAATGTCCTTAGAAGAAAGAAACGTCTGGGGACCTGTCAGGGACTCAAGAGACGCACGCTGGGGAGGGTTTTGCATCGACTGGCAGTCCTGATCAAGGCTCTGACCAAGCCTCAAGGAAAAGCCTGCCTCCTCTTCATCCTGGGGGCAGATCCCACACTTCCTGTATTTCCTTCGGACCCTCCGAGGGGCCAGGCCCCTTCCACTGTGCCCCTCCTTGATTAGTGAAGGGACGTTTCCCTCACCCTCTGGGGAGCCCATACCTTCCGCCCGGAGACCCGGTCTAGGCCTGCGGCTGCTGGCCTCTCTGTGCAAGCCAGCACTCTATCTGGGAAGCTCAGAGCTGTGTGACAAAGATTTCTGGAGCCTCTGGCAGCCCAGAAGTCACGCAGAGAGTCCTGGAGCCTAAACAAGGTCCTTTTCTGTCCACCAGGCCAGGCCAAGAGCTGATCCACAGGCCTGTGTGGCAAAGAGGGAGGTCTTAAAACCTGACCCTCCGCGGGTAATCTCACCTCTTGTCCCTCAGAGGGAAGCAACCCGGGGGGGGGGGGATGGGGGGGGGGGAGAGGCCCTCCCACGGCTGTTAAAATAGGAGAGGGTGAAAGCCGCTACTTAACAATGACCCTGTGAACCGGGTATCCCAGCCGACTCTGAGACTGCCCAAGAGCACCCAGGGAGCAGAAAAGAGGGGGTTCTCCCG